TCCTCTTGCAGACAAGATTACCCCTCGGCAGGTAAGGAAAAGCACTTGCGTGAACTTTGGCAGAATTGAGAGATGGATTTAAAATGTCAGCATAAATCAACAGGAATGGCAGCACTTTATACTATCCTATGAAAGTCATTGATGCAGAAGTGTGACCTTTGATAATAGCCACATGAGATCACAGTCATTCCTACTTTATATTAATCTAAGAATTGTTTTCTGATCTCTGGAATCAAAACGGAAATCTCTTGACAGACTTAAAGTTGCACAATCAAGTTCTTAGATTAAAAACACAACACTCAAAACTGGGTCTAAACATTACATATTAAGAGTGCATTTTATGAAAAAGAATAATTACCTTGTGTTACATACATTATAAATCATGTGAAATTACGCTCTCGTTAGAAGGGCTGGCAGGCTTTCAATGTCCAATGTTATAATATTTGATAAGAAACAAAGAAAACTAAAGAACTACATAATTAATCTTTTGCTATGGACGCTCAATATTATAATGAAAAAATCCACAACTTTTCAAATAATAAATTATTGTTCTTGTTGTCAGCCCAGGCATTCTAGTGCATCTGACAGTTATTCTGCATTTGTACGGAATGATGTTTAACATAAAGGAGGGTATGAATTGGCATTTTTCTTATTTGAATGATTGTCCAAATCTAATCCTGGACACAATTTCTCATTACTATAGTATTTCTTCTTCAGAGAGTTTGTATCATGGAGAAAACAAATAATCTTATCAGTATTATCCAGAGTTCTAGTTTCTTTGTGTAATCTTTTTATTTAAAATTTTACAAGATGCCATCCGCAAAGAAGAGCAAAATAAAAACTCTAAAGTTAAAGTCCAAGGTCAGTTTCGTATAGTGGCTGTTTGGCTACCCAAACAGCTCTGAAAGATTCAGCAGCTGGACAACTGGGGAACTTGCTATTTGCCAAAAGCACATGAAAGCATTCCTCTTCTGAACGCAGATCTGATTTTAGAGCATGTGGATCTTCACTATTTATTTCCTACAATTGCTGAAATTGCTATGAGTTCCTGTTTTTTTCTCTTCCTGATAACTAGTTACTGGTTCTTATATAGCCTTTCATTTTATCTTTCACGGAAAGTACAAATGTGATAGCTTTATCAAAGTTCAGCTTATCTATGCTACTTCTCTTTTCTCTCTATTCCTTCATTTAAAAAAAAAAAGTTTGAGTTTTTATTTATTTGTCAAATTCACATTGCCACCCATATAACAAAACAAGTAACTCTGGACATTATACAATAAAGTTCAAAACAATTAGATAATAAAGATCTCAAGTAATTAGTATTATTATTGTTAAAAATATTTTAAAACTATAAAAACAAACGGAGCCACCTCACAGCTAGCACAACCAGGTTTAGTTAATAAAAAATAAAGCAGCCTCTGCTTTAGTTCTGCTCTTGTCTTCCATTCACCTGCTCTTCAATCTCTTCTTCTCAAATTGCCTTTCTCTGTTATATTCAACATGATTTGCATCAGAGGTGGTATTCAGTAGGTTCTGACCAGTTCTGGAGAACCGGTAGCGGAAATTTTGAGTAGTTTGGAGAACCAGCAAATGCCATCTCTGACTGGCCCCGCCCCCATCTATTCTCTGCTTCCTGAGTCCCACTGATCGGCTGGGTCTTCTTTTGTTGCCCTGCACAGGAGAACGGAGCTGGAAAGCAGGTTAATGGGGTGGGGAGGGAATGGGATTTTGCAGTAAACCTTCCCCCAGGAGTGGGGAGGGAATGGAGATTTTGCAGTATCCGTCCCCTGCCATGCTCACCAAGCCACGCCCATCAAGCCACACCACACATACCAAGCCATGCCTACAGAACCGGTAGTAAAAAAATTTGAATCCCACCACTGGTTTGCATGTAGTATATAGTGTAGTTGGTTATGCAGCTTGCAAGACTTTTATCTACCTACATGTGTCTTCTATATATAGACTCAATATGATTGTAGAGTGTTTCTTTTTCCCTTGGACAGATGCATCTATAAGCAAGGCATCAGGCATTGGTGCTCTTTAATTTCACTTTTTGGCTACATGTCCGCCTCTTCTTTGCTGCCTGTCTACCTGTTATGGAAAAGGTAATCACACAGAAAAGCTGAATGAAGACAAGCAGCATTCAGAACTTGCTCTCAAAATAAAAGTTGTCAGCTGTTGTCCATATTTATTTAATTAAGACTTGAATCATATTTTCACAGAAACCAACAGGTTTATTATCTCGTTTATTCATTAAACGTGAAACTCAGACAACTGAACATTTAAAAATGTATTACAAATATCATTGACTGGTACTGATGGGTTGCTGCCAGCATCCTAGGTACCAACCTTATCCTCGGAAGTTGTGGGAGCGGCATCACTTGAGACTTTCGAGAAGAGATCAGACTGCCATTTGTCAGAAATGGTGTAGGGTCTCCTGCTTGGGCGGGGGGGTGGACTAGATGACCTACAAGGTCCCTTCCAATTCTGATTATCTGTTATTATCTGTTATCTGTTAACCAAGTAGCTTCTTAAAATATACAATCTTCCGAGCAGTGCAGTTTTTTTACAATTCTGCTGGCATTATTGCAGGAAGCTGCAATTTCTTCATGTATTTTGTAAAATTCTTGGACATGGTACCAAGCGCCCCAATGACAATGGGCATCACTGTTACATGTTTCATCCTTAATTGTGTGGTTTCAATGGCCAAGTCGCAATATTTTGTGATTTTTTTCCAGTTCTTTTTGACTCTGACGTCTCCTGGAATATCGATAGCAATAAATTGTACGCTTTGGTTTTCAACAACTGTGATATCTGGCATGTTGTGTTCCAAATGACGATCCATCTGTATTCGAAAGTCCCATAAGATCTTCACTGTCTCATTTTCGACAACTTTTTCCACTTTATGTTCCCATGACTTTTCAGATATAGGTAAGTCATATTTTTTCAATGACCAGTGGATTAATTTAGCAACTCGGTCCCATCTAGCTTTGTAATCAGTTTGCACAATTTTGCAGCACTTACATATTAAGTGTGAAACAACTTTGTCATTGCAAAGTCGGCAGTTTGAATTGTTCAGTGGATTTTTGTATCTTTAGTTTGTAGTGCTTGTTCTTGAGCAGCAAGTATTAAACCCTCTGTTTCTTTCTTGATGGTTCCCATCTTAAGCCGTCCCCATGTCGTTATCACATTTTCCTTCAGATGCTCAGACTGGATTTGGCATTTCTGCCTATCTATCGAGTCCTTAACTAATCTTAATGGATCTTAACGAATGTATCTTTTCTTTATGTATAGAGTATTTACACCAAGACGAATTCCTTGTGTGTCCAATCACACTTGGCCAATAAAGTATTCTATTCTATTCTATTCTATTCTATTCTATTCTATTCTATTCTATTCTATTC